GAAGAGTTTCCTAATACAGTATAAGTAAGCTTCCAGGCAAACAGGCAGACAATCACCCAGGCATGCAGGCAGACAGACAAGCAGGCAGGCAAGCAGAGCAAGAAGGCGCGGGACAGTGCCCGGTCTTGTCGAGGTGATGGGAGGGAGAGGCACAGTGTCGACCACAGAAAAGGAACTATGTCTATATACCTGCATAGGTAGATGGTGCTGTATGCCATAGTGCATGAAGTATGTCTATAGACCTGCAGAGGTAGATGGTGCGGTATGCCGTAGTGCCTGAACTATGTCTATACACCTGCATAGGTAGATGGTGTTGTATGTATGCCTTAGTGCATGCTGTGCAATGGGAGTGATTATACGGGGCATAAGCTTGAGTTGATGAAATGTGGAAACGATTTGCTATGATGCCGATGTCGGTATTGCTGTAGTGCCTGAAGGTTATATGCCATAGACAAGCCTATGTGGATAGTACACTGTCCCGGTAATGCTATCGCCTATTGGCTATTGACTATTGGCTATTGGCTATTGACTATTGGCTTTAGACAGTCTATGCTGACTGATACTACACTGCCCCGGTGGTGCTAATGCCTATTGGCTATAGGTTAAATGCGACAGGAGGACACTTGGCACTGTGTTCCCAATGATGCTATGATGATACTCGATGCTGTACTCGATGCTGTGATGCTGTTGATGACACTGGGCTATGCGATGAAGCTGTGCGCACCTTCTATCTGTTGTGTTTGTGTTTCAAGTACAGGAAGATAGTTTGAGTGGGTAGGTAGGTTAATTAGCTTGTGTGTTGAGCAAGAAGAGGCGAAGACAGGGAGAGGAGATTGATTGGCGGCAAAGGAAAGCTCCCGCGGAAATTGAGTGCAGCCGACGGAGAGCTGACGTAACAGCTCGTTTTGCGTTTTTGGGCAGGAGATTTTTTGCAAAACAGACGGAATGATTTGGGCGGGAACTTTTTCGCGCGACGGACGGCATAATTTGGGCGGGAGATTTTTCGCTCAACAGTCGGCGTAAGAAGAACGGTTGTTGCGGCGATTGCTTCCTTGCTACTATAGGAAAGTTTTCTTTGCGGTCGTCAATCAAGCCATTTGATACTGGAATCTGATCAAGTCTGATTTCAGCAACTCACGAAAGAGCGCCGGGTGGGGTGGAAAGAAAGAGAGAGAGAGAGAGAGAGAGAGAGAGAGAGAGAGAGAGAGAGAGAGAGAGAGAGAGAGAGAGAGAGAGAGAG